CTTTGGGAATGGCCACTGACCTGGCAAGCTCTTGCATCCAGTTGACGCGGTTTTTTGACCGTGATGACATGGACATCAGCCGCATCAATGAGGAGGTCTATTGCTTTGACCAGGAGCTGGAGGTCCGTGTTGCCAATCATGGGTCGCAGCGTGTGAAACTTGTTTTTATGTCAAACATGGTTTTCAAATTTCCCTGATGAGGCCATGTTTGTCCAAGGCAAAGTGTTTGAGATTGAAGGCTTCACCAAACATTGCTTTGAGCTCTTGAAGCGCGGCAACTTGACCTTCTATGTGAAGGGGGGTGCAAGATCACTCAGTGCCCTTAGGGCAGATGTGGCCAAGCGCAAGGCTTTGCGAACGATGCGGCGTTCCATAGACTTGATCAGGGCGGCCATCGCGGCTGAATTTCCAGATTTTGATGCAGTCATGGCTTTCCGAGTGTTTGACTTGAGCCCAGACTCGGGCAGCAGCACCGCAGAAGGGAAGGCCGACAGTATCGCGCGCCTGGCCAAAGTGTTCGCCTTGAACCCAGGAAAACTGAAGGCTGAGTTTGATCGTCTTTGGCCCATTGCTTTTGCCCAGCATAAGAATGCCGGATGCAACAATCGACAAGCCTGGCAGTTTGCCTTTAGGCGAGCCGTCTCCAAAACATCGCAAGCCTGGGACTTGGACAACTTGGAGGTTGTTCCTTGTCAACAAGATCACATCAGTTTTGAACTTGATTTCGTGCATGCCCAACAATGCCCAACAAAATCCAAAAGAAGTATAATAATGTTCACATAAACCCGGTAAAGTATGAGTTGAATGTGAGGTTCTTTCAGCGTTCTTGTCATGGACAGCTTCCACATCGGGCATGGAGCAAACTTTTTCCAAAATTGAGAGGAACCATTTGCATCGACACAGCGGTTCTGCAGACACGTTTCGCAGGTCCGTGCTGGGTTTGACTTCTCAGGAAGGGGCTTCCTTCAAGACCGACGAAGTTTTAGTTGAGGCTGCCCGAGTTTTGCATTCGCAAAACAGATGCTATGTGGCCAAAAACAAAACATCAGGTCGCAAGACGCGTTTTGATGCAGGAAGCAAGAAGCCAATTTCTGCACTGCCCGAAAACACAGAGGCAGCCTTCCTTCGAAAACGAAAAGCCGATCTGAAGGGTCTGACCAGAGGGGGCCAAGCGTCCTCTCGTGGTCTGACCGGAGGGGGCCAAGCGTCCTCTCTTGGTCTGACCAGAGGGGGCCAAGGTGAAGAAGGCAGAGACCCAGTCAGAGGCTACAAGTTCGATGCTGCAATGAAAAAGGAGGAAAAAAAGTGCCTCCAGGAAGTGAAAAAAAGGCGTGTGGAAGCCTTTGAAGACAATTTTCTTCTGGATTCCGAGAAGCCTAGCCGCAAGGACATCCAGAAACAGAAGGCAGAAGAGGCCAAGAACGACAGAGAGCGAATCAAGAAGCAGGCCTATGTGGACAACATGTGCAAGTTGGCACAGGAGAAGAAACCGATGCACTTCTTCTATGTTTTGCTGCAAGGACGCACTGCTTGGATCGACGACGAAGCTTCGCCTGAAGAACGTCAAGCGGCTGTGCAGGCTGGTCTGACCGCCTTGACTTCTTCTTTGGATGAGGCCAACGTGGCCTTTGTAACCAATAGCTCTCCAGAAAAACGTGCATTTTGGCACATGATGCTGCGAGGAGGGGCTGTAGTCGCCCGCGACTTCTTGACAGTGAAACGACATGTCTTTGTTTTGCAGTACAGGTCAGGAATCGAAATTCATCTGAAGTTGTTCATGAGTGATAATTTTAAAGCCAAGCACGTCCAGATCACTGCGTGCCTGCAACACCACATCCATGCAGAACCCACTTCCAAATGGGAGGAAATTGGCCAGAATCAGGCCAAAGTGGTTTTGTGTTTAGAAAATGAAAAACGCTCGTTCCGCAAACCAGGGGTGCGTGTGCACACAGCTGAAAGTTTTTTTGAGCGTTTGGCTACAATGACGCTCTTGACTGACAAGTCTGGGCGCTTAGGGTGATGCTGCTGCCGGGGATGATGACAGCAAGTCTGTTGAAAAAGTGCGTTAGCCAGTCTTCTTGCACCAATTCAATTGTGTGACTGACCGAGGGTCATGTTCAGTTATGACTGCATTGCTGTTTTTGTTCTGCTGTGTTAGACCAAGTAGTGCAAAATACAGCATTGAGCATTGGAAATTGGAACACCAAAAAGTTCAGTGGAGTTCCCGCGAACATGCAAACTTAACATTTTACATGTTCCATTTTGGGCGACGTTAAGTGTAGACCAATTTTGGCCCTTACATACTCCCCTTACACATTGCCAGCCCGGGCCGGGGCCGCGTAAGCAGCGTTAACGTGAACGCATCCGTGTAAGGACAGTATGAAGTTCGTACTCCCCTTACACATTGCCAGCCCGGGCCGGGGCCGCGTAAGAGGAGTAGGTTTTCGCGTAAGGACAGTATGAACGCTAGCGCCGCTAGCGTACATACTCCCCTTACGCATTTACATACTCCCCTTACACATTGCCAGCCCGGGCCGGCTCCGTGTAAGGGGAGTATGAAGTTCGTACTCCCCTTACGCATTTACGCTGGTACAAACGCTACTTTCCAGAGACACTAGACCTTGGAGTAGTCAGAGAATACAATCCAACGCTCTTGCTTCCGGAGTCTGGCTCACAGGCACATACGTTGATTGGATTAGTCAGTGTCAGTTACCTTAACAGCAGCCAATCTCACTGATAGTCAGTGTCAGTTACTACCGTAACAGCAGCCAATCTCACTGATAGAAAAGACATAAGCAAGTCAGCATAAGTATCATTAGCAATTCATTTTCGGAGATGAACTCAGACTCGCCGCCTTAGACCATGTTGTCCAAGTTGGCAACTAGAAAAAAAAACATGTCTGATGGTCTGACCTCGGGCAGAAAGTCTGATGGCCTGACCTTGGGCAGCAAACCAAAAAAATCAGCAGAAATGAAAAAACATTTCGATCGCATTCTCAATTTGGCCGAAGAAAAGGCTGGTGAGCCCAGCGCAAGTCGACCTGGAAGAGGTAAACTTCGTGTGGGGAGCGACTGTGCAGGAATGGGATCCGATTTAGCGGCTCTTACTCTGTTTGGTTTTCGCGAGCAAATCGAAACTTCAATGTGGTCCGATAGTGATCCCGACAAGAGGAAACTATATCGCCATGTTTGCTCCCTGTTAGATCTCGACGTTTCTCCCGTGTGCAAAGATATGTCAAAGAGGAATGCCGCAACAGCCCCATCATGTGATGTCTATGTGGCTGGCTACCCCTGTCCAAGTTACAGTGTTCTTGGGAAAAAGAAGGGCGTGCAGGATCCACGAGGACAAATCGGTCTGTATGGCCTTGAATATATTTGCCATCACAAACCCAGTTGTGTGGTCTTGGAGAACGTCAAAGGACTCCTTCAAAAAAAACATCAGCAATTCCGACAGCTGATCAAGGATGTCTTGGAAAAATTGGGGTACACACTTCGCTTAAAACTTCATTCAACATTGGATTATGGAATTCCTCAGAGCCGCCAACGTGTCTACATTGTGGCCTTGCTGAAGGATGCCATTGTGACGAGATTTCACTGGCCGAAGAAAGTGGAGTTCAAAAAAAAATGGTTGAAGGAGTTTCTGGACACGCATCTCCGTGGTGAGCCTGGCCAGCGGTGCAACATAGAAAACTATGTGCGAAAGTATGGAGACAGGGTTCGCCAAGGACCATATGTATTGGATGTTGGCAGCAGCGAGGCGTTTCAGTCGGCCAAAAAATATGTTGTGCCTTGTTTGACTAGAAGCCGCCTCAAAGGCAAACAGACTGGTTTCTTTGTGCCCAAGTTGGACAGACGTTTGACTGTACGAGAGGCAGGGCGATTGCAAGGATGGCCTGAGCAAATGCTGAATTCTTTGCTCAAGTCCTTTGACGAATCCACTGTTGGCGCATCGCTGGGGGACGCCATGTCCATCAATGTTTTGGGAAAAATTTTGCTGGAGTGCATGGTTTCTTTGGGCCACGTGTCCCGGGAGGAAGCCGCAGCCCGAGATCATTGGGTAAACTCAGCCACTACCCGCAGCGCAGCAGATCGAGCATGGCAACTGTTTCGGCCAAGGAAATAAATCGGATCCTCATTGAGCTGGCCAGGGTTGTGGTCTGACCCGACTCCTGCATTCGAAATCGCTCTGTACAAAGACCAAGTAGATACATTGCGAAGAAAAAAATTGAATGCTGTGGAAATTTAGTTGCTGACGTAAGTATCTTGGATGAGTTTTTGTTGCAGCTAATTCAGCACCTTGCTAGTGTGAAGGACATTTCTGTGCACAGATTTATGACCTTGTGCATGGTTATCTGTTTTGGCCCACAGCTGTCTTGCAGCCAGTGGCACGTGATGGTTTTTGCAGGTCCATCATGCCACCAAAAGCAGCGAATAAAGCTCCATTGCCTGATGGCGTGCCTTCCAATTGGTCGGCGTGGCGGCTTTCTGGAGCCGAACAGGACCGATAGTCTGAGATCATGTTATTAATTTTTTAGTTTGAACAGGACCGATAGTCTGAAATCATGTTTTAAAATTTTTAGTTTTCAAAATATCAAACGCAATAATGTCCCATCCAGCAAATTTCAGGCTAAAATCGATGAGGCTGTGAAGACTTTCGAAGAGCAGCTGGCGCCGGATGGATCAGAGAACGAGGTCGATCGGCAGGCACGGGATATGGCAAAGAGTATGTTGCTGAACATTGTGTGTTTGTATAAACATGGCGATGTTTGATCTGACAATGTGCAGGCGAAGATCAATGAGTACAGGGCTGAACAAACCCGAATCATGAAACAAGGCAAAGCGAAGGCATCAGCAGAAGCCAAAAAAAAGGCGAAAGATGGCGCCCAACCGAGAGATGACGCCCAGGCCCCGTCCTCGCCAACCGGCAACAATGCCGGCCAAGCCCCTGCTGGAGGTGCCATTTGTCTGCCCCCTGCTGGAGGTGCCGGTGGTCTGACCCCAATGGCACCGTTGTCCACCAGCAACGTGTCTGAAGTCAATCTAAGCTATTACCAATCAGTCCAAGAAGACATGAGGAAAATTTTGAAGTGTTTGGGACCGGATTTTGCCAACAAAGATGCGCTGCAAATCGCACAAGGAAATCAACAAGGAGATGGCGGCATCCAAGAACCTTTCAACAAGGAAAGCGCCACGAGGGCTCTTGGGAACCAGAATTTGTACATTTGCGCTGGGAACTTGTTCTGGTTGGATTTTCTGAGATCCCCAAGCCCAGGAGTACCACTACAAAGGCATGGTGTATGCCAGCTAGGTGACTTCTTGTGGCCCAAGAACCAGTCCAAACCGATGTTCCTCCTCAAGTTGTTGGAGGTGGAAGCCCCAACAGATGTGCCAGAGAGACCATCAGCTCTGGGTATGCTTTCTCCGGAAGGCTATGCGCATGCTGCTCTGTATGCGGCTGCCAGAGACCTCCCAGAGCACAAAGAGGAATGGCAAATTGTGCTGAGGTCAGTCCCATTCTGCTTTGTGGCTGGCGCAAAAAACACTTGGATTCATTCATGGAATTGCCGCAACCAGCTCACACAGGAGTATGAATCTCTGAGCCGATCAGCTTTGCAGCAGGCCACCGAGATCAGCATGCTGAAGAAGCGCATGGAGTCCGATGTAGGACGAACTCTTCAACCAGCGGAGCTCGTCAATCAGTTGAAGCAATTTGGCCTCAAGAAAGCTTCTTCACAGGATGATCTCACCACAAATCTAGTGCAACTGGCAACCCAGGTGTATGAGAAGATGAAAGGCCCCGAGATGCTAGGTCCCATTCTAGCCATGGAAGAAAAATTTGGAACAAAGTCTTGCTTCAACTCCCTCAGCAAACTGCATCTCTTGGCAACCAAACCTGAAGCCAATCGGCGGGTTTGGGTGATGCAGGGAATCTATGACTGGCTCGTCCGCAGTTTGCTGACGAACGATGAGGTGACCAAGAACACTCTCACTGGTGATCGCAACACCTGCGGTTTGATTCCGCTCCTGGAGTTGAAGATGCTTTGCCTGGAACATTGGCTCTCATCCATGATGGCCCGCGCCAACATCCTGGAGAAGGACCGGGCAGTGATCCGCCGAGTCTTGCAGGACCATGCTTCGTATCGGCAGGAGATGCTGGGCTCAGACGTCTCATGGCAAGGCAATCTCGCCCGCAGCTCTTTGGAGGCATTGCAGTTTCTTGAGGCCTGATGGATCTGCAGGTTTCCAAACACAACATGTGCCTTTCATTTCAATGCACATTTAGATGTTTGAAGATTTCAGCAAGCCATAGTACCAATGTTTTTTCACCATGTTGTTTGCAACTGCCCTGTCAGAAGCTGGTGTTCAACAAACAATTCGACAATCAGCTAAAGCAGCATGCCCGCGGGCACAAGAACGTCGAAGAAGTGGCCGAAAATGAGATCATCAAGGAGGAATGGTCCAAGGTCATTTCCATCCGAGAAAATGAAGTGGCAGAGCAGAAGGTGCGGGACAAGATGGAAGACCAGGAGGACGGAGACGCCCCGGCAGAGACCGCTCTCCATCAAATGCGTCGGGCAGCCAATGAGTTTGTGGAGAACGGCCAGGAGTATTGGAACAGTTTGGCGAACACAACTGTGAGGCGGTATGTTTCATGTATGGTGCTGCCAGCCACACAAGGGCAAATGCAGAGAGAGCTGACCAACTCTTGCCTCAAAGATGTCATTGTGCCGGAGGGCCAGAGGCTTGTTGAATGGACTCTTTTTTTTTGGTTTATTTCAATGCATTTTTTTGCAACAACATTGGGAACCCTAGCCATGGACGTGCAATCGAAATGTAGGGATGCCTCTTGTCAGGTCGTGCTTGACTTGGTGTGACCTGGATTATATGGGTGAGAATATGGGCGTCAATTCGCAGATTGGCCTTCGGAGGCTGCAGCCCTTGGACGGGAACGGTGAAATCAAGAGCCTCATCCAAGCCACGATGCTGGCCCGTGGGGCCCAAGTGAAAAGCGACCAAGGGGAGATAACGGTCCCTGCTCCCGGAGAGATTGTGTGCTTCCACGCAGCCTCAGACAGACCAGGAGCAATCTCAGAGTTGCGCAAGATCTTTCGTCTTGCTGCAGCGACAAGAGGTGACACCATCGACTGTGAACAGAAAGACATCATGGTTGTCTTCCAGGAGGAATCTGTGCGCAGCCGAAAGAAACGCATCAAAGGATCAGAGGCCTACAGATGCGACAGCTACTTGCACTTGTTCAGCGGTTTGACCCTGATTCCTGGCTTAGTCCCAGAGAAAAGAAGGCTGCACTATGACGGATTCAACACAGGGAATGTCATGGGGTGGGTGACATGTCTCCAGCCGAATTCCTTGTGGGAAGCTACCCGGAAAGACAAGGAGAAGATTCTGGGCCCCAAGGCGTTGAAGCTCACGACCGCTGAGCAGATCAGTTGCTTGTTGGATTCGTCAGCTTTTATTTTTTTATTTATTTGCTCCTCAAACACAAATCCTCTAAATTATTGAAG